TTGTCAGGATGTCCCAATACGTTAGGTGCATAAAAAACAAAAATGGACAAAAATATTGCAAAGGCTACCCAACCTACTAAATCTTTGAGTGAAATGCTGGTACTCCGCATCTTCACGGAGAATTCAATTTCACTGAGCCCATGTTGGAGACAGCGGGGCAGTCGTTACACCATTCGTGCAGGTCGCTACTTATGCGACACAATTGTGTTAATTGAAATAAACTTCGAACATCATTTCAACCGAGGCCTTCCTCCTTCGTGTCGCCACGAAGTTCAGACTATATCATCATCCCAAGCAGGGATGTCTGGCGTGTAGTCGTTGAGGGGCGCAGCGCATGTATCAACTTCATCATCCAACCAACATCCTTACTTCCCCACAGATCCTCCTCCTGAAAGGGCTTGAGGACTAACTCTTCCTTCTGCTCGTACCCCTTTGGTGCCAGCCATATAGGGTGACTGACACAACTGGGCACTCGCAGGGACCATTCGTTTATGTGCAGGCGGACGTCCTCCTCTTGATCCAGAAACCCATCAACTGGCGGTGTGTCTTCTATCGATCCCTCGTCCGATCCGTCCCAGTTGATGCGGCTTAACCCATCCGCCCTGTTCTTGTTCCCTGGGATCCTTTCCAACTCGAAATTAAATATCCAAATGTAGGTCAACCATCTTGCAACGGTTGGGTCAGATGAAGTATAATTCTTCAGGGAACATGCCAGTGCAGTAGGGTCCACCCTCAAAATGAGCCTCCTCCCAAAAACATAGTTTCGGAAGGTCCTTAGGCAATGAAGTACCGCCAGCGTCTCCTTCTTGAACTGAGAGTAATTCCTCTCGGTTGTATTGAGGGTACAACTCTCAAATCTCAGCGGCCTCTCCTTCCCGTCAGTATCTGCCTGAACCAGGACTCATCCCAAGGCAGTTGGCCCAGCGTCCGTCTCAATGACGAATGGTCTTTCCTCCGTGGCCTCATAATTTGGCGCTCCCAATACCAAGCCTCCTTCCTTAAACTCTCCCTTCATCCTACCGACCTCCTCTTCCTGGTCCTCGCCCCAGACCCATTCTTGATCCTGGCGCATCAACTTCCTTAAATGCTCCGTCTTTGTGGCAAAGTCCTTCACGAAGCTCGTCCAGAATCTGCACGTTCCAAGGTAGCTCCTCACATCTGTTATTGAGCGGAAGGGCACCGGCCACTCAAGGATCTTGTCTGTCTTCTTTACATCAGGCCTTCGCCCACTCTCATTACAGACAAAGTTTAGAATCGTGGCCTCCCTCATACAATGTTTCGACTTGGGGCCGCTCGCCGTCAGGTTATGTTCCTCTAATAACCCCAGAACCCGATCGATGTCTTGGACATGCTTCCAGACAAATCGCCGCACACCGGGCATCACTTCGTCTTCCTCCTTCTCCTTCGGACCTTTGACCACCAGGTCATCGATATAGGGCTAAGTGATATGTGGGCTGACCGTCTGCATGGCTCTGATCATGTGCCTTTGCACCATCGCCACTGCATTCGTCCAACCTTGATGCACCACGTTCATATGAATCAGCCCTCTGGGAGTGTGCATTGTCGTTACGGGCCTATCTGGCGGGTATACGGGGAATTGGTCATACCCCGAGTAGAGGTCTATAAGCGAGATTATAGGCCTCCCTGCACACGATTCTGACAATGCGTCCTCGTTCGGCAATCCTCCCGCATCCCGCACTGTCACTGCATTTAGCCGCTGCAAGTCCTGCACCCACCTTAGCGTCCCATTTGGTTTAATAAAACAAAACCAAGCCGACGCGTACGGCCCACTGGAATAATCGGCCACGTGCATTCGCATCTTGCCGTCTAGGTAGTCCACCACCATCTTTTCCTCGTCCGGATTGGGGTACCGCGCGCCCCTTAGATTCCATGACTCATGTGAGACCGTGTGGATCCTGATCATCGGGATCTTGTCCACATCCAGCCTCCCACGCTCGTCGTCGTTGAATGCATACGCGCGGTGCCTTTTCTTTATCAGCCCCACCATTAACGCTCTCTCCTGGGGCGACAGGAAGTCGGGCTCCCCAATTATCAGCTTCTYCTCATTTTCGTCGTTGATACGACACGGCCCGACCAACGCGTGCTCCCGCATACGCCGTATCAACCCTCGCTCCCGCTCGTAGTAGGCTTCCTCATCCTCTGTGACAAGCACGGGAACTGGGCGGCACTTCTTATCTATGGTCTTGTACCGCCTTTGGGAACCCTGCTTAAGCCCTCCCCTAAGAAAGGCCGAMTTGTCGCTCGGGCCTGGGCCATCGCAGGGCCTCCCCTCCCTCGCAGAAGCCGATACACCAACTCCACCTCCCCCACCTGAGGGTTCTCCAAAACTTGTTCCCTCAATGCCTTAATGGCCTCCGGATCCGCCATGTCGTGAGCCGATACCACCTCCATGGTCTTGTTCACGTCCGTGAGGCTTAGCGTCAATACCTCGGCTCTGTCTTTCTCTTCAGGCACTTCCCAAAGCCGTCTCCGCTCGTTCTCTGATACCTCAAAGGTGAACGAGCCTAGATTGGGCCTATTCCTCCCGCTCCCCGGCCCCGTGTTCCGGCGGGTGATCACTTCATAATTCCCACACACCGGGTCGCACAGGAGTAGGATCATTGTTCCGTCGTGCTTGTTGAAGATCAACATTTCCGTCTGGCACAGGAACAACCACCCCAGAAGGATGGGGTGATCGACATCGGGCATAACGAAAAAGCAAGTCCTGGCTCGCACCTTCCYAATCTCCACAATCACATTTGACGCTGTGCCGCAAAAGGCGGCCTTGCAGTTAGCGCCGTGCAGCATGCCATGATCCGAGCGGTCGATTTTCATGCCTATCATTACTGCCTCCTTCTCCCTGATGATGTTCATCTCTGCGCCCGTTTCCACCATCCCGGTACACTTCTGGTTCCTTATCACCAAATCCACCTGCCCGCACGCCACACATTTCCAATCCATCCTTGTCCCTGCCTCAGTCCACTCCACCTCTCTAGGYAGGACCGTACTYAGATGGACATTTGGCACYAGCCTTCGCGACAGTCGCCCCTTCAACTCACCACGGAGCCTTGGCGCCGACGCCAGGATGTCCTTTAGGTTCATCAAGTCATTATGGCCTTCCAGGAGTTTGTCCACCATCCGCTCCACATCAAAGCCTTCCTCCATCCGGACTGCGTACTTCTTCCTCTTAGGCACGCTGTCGGGCAGGCTTGGCTCAGCCTCCTCCTGGGGCCCCCTCTTTTTGGCCCTCAACTCCGCCCGCTGATCCTCCTCTTGTCGGAGCCTCTCATCCTCTTCATCGTCATCCTCTTCCTCTTCCTCCGGAACCTCCACCACCTCCTTCCTACGTCCAGGCTCTGGCTCCTTTTGAGGGGGTGCCTGACTAGGCACCTGACTGGGCTCTTGACTAGGCCCAACCTTATTTTGGCTTCTGGTCCGAGCCGCCTGCGGCACCCTCCCATGCGACGTGGGGGGTCTATAGGTCATACCTGACCTAGGGCCCGTCCCTACAGTCGCCACTCTTGGGCACCCTTGTTGTCCTGGCGAAGGCTCTAGCCCGGAGTCATAAAGGAAGACCTCAGGCAGGTTGGCCTCCCACTCTCGGGCTTCTTCACACAGGGCTTGCAGCTTCCGCTGGTATCTCCCCACCTTTTCCAGCAGATCTTCCATCCGCCCCAGGAGGAGTGTGGTCGGCTCTCTTTCGCCTTTCTGTCCCTCATCGTCCGATTCAACGACTATTGGCTCCTCTCTTATAGTCCCCACCTTTAGTCGCTGAGTGACCTCCTCGCTATCTCCCACAATCTCCTCAACTTTTATGGCCAACTCTTCTTTCTCCTGCCACATCCTGAACATGGTTGGGGTTGTCGATGGCCCTGCCGCCGCTTGCCTAAGAGCTTCTTGCCTGATTCCTCCCGGGGTCCTAGGGTCGATATGCTCTCCCCACTTATCGTATATATCCCCGTCCATACAAGAGGAAATTAGACCTGCCAACTCATCATCTCGCCGCCGTTGGCAGAACCGTATAGTATGGCCCACCTTGCTACAATACCAGCAGGTAGCGTTTCGCCAATCAAAGCGGGGCCTCCCATACCCTTGGCCCCCCACAATGAACTAATATTTTAGATTCTCTGTATATTCTTGTATTATGATATTGTGTATATTTGTACTATTTGATTCGAATTTTATGAAAGAATGAATTTTGTTTAACCTTGGTTCTGACCCCCCTGACTATTCCAACCACCCCCGCGACCCCCACCATTTCCTCCTCGGCCTCGGCCGCCACCTCCTCGACCCCCCTGACCTCGGCCTCCATTGCCTTGCCCGCCTTGTCCTTGGTTTCCTCCACCGGCCACACTAGCCTGCGTGGCCTGTTGGGAGGGAGGTGGTTGGGCCACAAACTGACCCTGAGCTGCAGGGTAGCTCGGGGGCCCCATAGTTGCCGTTGGGCCCGCATAAGGGACCATTTGCCCGGGCTAAGTCTGACTACCCCCGCACGAGGTGCAGTGATTACAACTGGGCCAGGACGTAGGCTGACAATGCGGCACCCAATGCCCACAAGCCGGCGGCGGCCCCATACATGACGGCCCGGCCGTCGCTGACGTTGTCGTGGTAGCAGGTGGCGGCGCAGCAATTGGTTGTGGGACCTGCCCTTTTCCGGATCCTTGACCCCCCGCTTGTAAATTCCGTTGCTTCCTCTGGGTCTTGGTTAGGATCTGGGAGCCCGTCTCTTCCACGCCATATTCCTCGCGCCTAGCCTCCTCTTCCACTGCCCCCAACGCCCGGCCTTGGGTCACGGCCACTCCCCTCTTTTGCACTTCCGCCTCATTATCATACCCCAACACTGCCAATACGTCCGTGACGATCCTCGTCACCCCTGGGGTCCCGGACGTGGTGGCGTCCCTTTCCTTCCTCTTGCGCCTTTGCAGCCGCACCTGGTGCTGCTCCACCTGGTCCAGGCTCCCCTCTTCCACCCCTTTGTCGATAGTGGCCCAGGTGAGTTTCTCATTTCCCCCTCTGTGACCCGTCAGCTCCGAGGCCTCCGAGCCAGTAAGCAGACCCAAAAATATGGCATACTGCGTTTCTTCGGAGATCCCGTGCACCTTCTGCGCCTTCCTTTTAAACTCGTGCACAAACGCCCCAATCGTGGAGAAGTCATCCTTGTGCGTGGCCTCCAAATCCGCCATGGTTAGCAAGCCATCTCCCAACCTGTACTTTCTTTGCATCATGTCCCTGAACCTCGCCCAACTACCATTGGCGGCATCCACGACCTTGCCCACTTCCTGATGGTGGCTATGAAGAACATATCTTAGGACTTGCTGGAGCTTGATCTCGTTCGACAACCCCACCAGTGCTTGCTTCGTTAGGTCCAGCCAGTCAGACACCCGCTCTCCCTTGAAGTGGAAAGTATCGACCTTCGGGACATTGCTCGGCGCTCTCTCGCGCTTATCCAGGGCATCGATGAGGTCGTCGAGCGTTACAAGTTTTCTCCCACCGTCCGCCATCTCCTCAGGCATTTTGATTAACTGCCTTCGACTTCAATCCCCCTATTATAAAAAGCGATAAGACGAAAGGTTCCACTCAGCAGTCCACTCCTTCATGATCCTACCGGACCGACCACCAAAGCACCCGACGCTCTGGACCTGGCAGCCATTTCTCTCTCTACTTCCTACCTCCCTTGGGTTCACCTAAGTTAGACCCATTCTCATCACATAATTCACTCACATACTCGCCTCGTTCATGCCATCAACCAAACCACCAATCAGATCAACATTCATACCCACACAGCCATATAGACTACTATACGACCCATCTCATAGTTGTTCTCCTATTTGCTCACGTGCCTAGTTCTCTCTCATTCTCATATAACCCGGATGTCGTTCCACCAGGGACAATGGTAGGCTTCCGTTATCCCCGGCAACGGCGCCACCTGTCGGGCGCATCGGTCCGGCACCGCACGTGGCAGCGTGGGACCCTCTCGGCCGCGTCACGCAGGAGTTGGACCAACCTCGCCGCGAATACACAAATGGAGCTTCCTTAGGCCACTTCGGCCGAGTGCGCCAGCCATACCTCTCATAAGCCCCTGCGACAGGACAGGGCCTACGCGAGGCACAACTTACCATCACCTTACGGGAGCTGTCAACTCCCTTCGGTGGGCGTATCCCCGCCGAGCTACCAATCCACAGTACGAAGGCTACTCGGTTGCAATCGCAGAGGTGGACCAGCCGAGGGCGTTTCTCGTTCGCTGTAGCATAGGGGGTACGCGCGGTAATACGCCTATCGGACCCGCACGCGGGTCGACATCTTAGGGGGCTGAAGTCCCAAGCGTGGCCCGACGTCGGTCGACTAGGACGCATCCCACGCACCACACGCACACCACCCTACAAACACAAAAACAAAATATACGCGCACACACACATTGCACAAACGACACAACAATAACAACGCGACAACGCTCCTAGTCCCTTGGTAGCCAACCCATAACTTTCCAATGCGGAAATCAGATAGGCGTCGCGTGCGAGACTTAGTATTAAACCGCGCGGACACAGGGCTAACTCATATCGACTCGCAATGCAAACGTACGCAAGCAGTCGCAATGATGGCGTACTATGTCGTGCCCATAATCGTGCGGCCCTCGTTAGCCTCGAGGGTCACATTCGACACTCAAGTGTCGGTTGACACGCGCCTTGAGGGTTAATCTCTCGACGCTGGACAACCGCCATGCGCAGTTGGAGACCACACCCTCTTCTGCACCCTGTGCAGGGGGGTTGAGTAGACAGGTTTAAACTGTCGTGGCGGTCGAACATCAAAGGGTTTGACTTTGACGGCCGCCACAGACTATAACTTCCAACCATGAAAACGCAAAAAAAAGAAACTCACTCCAACCCCCATTAGCTGATTGCCCTCAGAAATGGAAAGGGGGTGGGTAAGCCCGAACGACGCGCGCGCGGAGGAGGTCCGGCGTCCTACCCATGGCTACCTGGCGTCCGGGGTGATGAAGCCCGTACGCGGACTCCCATAAACTGACCGGGGCTAGTCCTCCACGCACGTGCCGCTTCACGCTACTAAGACCCCAAGCCTACTGGCCGTGTCGCGCTCGTGATCTCGTCGCCTGACCCATAACTCCTTTAGTGCGGGATGCGACGAGTGTCGTGCGCGAACTTCGTATAAGATCGCGAGGGTGTTGGACTTACACATACTATCTCACTATGCAGCTCTATGCAAGTAACCACGATGATGGCGAATTATGTAGCGCCCACACCCACACGGCCTACTCGGAGCCAAGGGGTCACCCTTCGACGCTCAGGTGTAGGCTGAAGCGCGAGTCCATGGGGATAACCCTATAGCGCGCGCAAAACCGGCCTGAGGGCCTTTCCGTCTTCTGCACCTTGAGGTGTCCCAACGGGTGCGGGGCAAGACGGCCCCTAGGGCAGGAGGGAGTTTGGAGCGGTGGTGAGTTGTCTGGCGCATCACCGGCGACACGCTGACCCTTCCGCCCGGAACTTTATCGTTCCACCAAGATAAATCGCAACAAGGAAAATAAACCGGAATTGGTAAGGGATATCCCTTCCCTTCTATTCACCTCAGCCTTCGACTGACCCTTAGTACGCTGGCACTTCAGGCCACGCTCGCTCCACACGTAGGTACACATGCACTAACACATATATATACATATATGCACAAGGGGAATAATTATGTGACGATCACTTCTCACAGTCATAGTGGGTCTCCTTCTAGCCATACATATGTGCGACCGCAAGGCAGCCCAACCAAAACCCCAAGTCTTTGAACATACCTGCAATCACATCAAAAATCAGACAAGAGTCCACGCACTACGCGGAGTCAACTCCGACCAGTTCCTATACTCATACCCCTCGCTTTAGCCATGCAAACCCCAACCTCCARCCAACCGRCCTCAATTAAATACTCAKTACCTTTGTTAAATGRCCATTCAATAAAAGTCYGGGTGAAACCCTTAACAAACAAAAGATCACCAGGGCTAAAGCCTTTTAGGTTGAGTATGGGGAGCGAGTAGGAATTGAGTCGTGAGCCGACGAATCGGCAACCGACCTGTTATTAATGATAACAGATGATGATCCTTGCAGGATCAGGCTGAACTAGCCCAAGTCCTGAATCGAATGTCAAAGAAAGGCCTATACCATAAGACAAGCCAATGCCCAAGCTAAATCATCAGCATATGGGGGATGAACCTCCGTAGCGCACTCTTACTCAAAGTTACCCGCCAACTAAGTCTAAGCCTACCTCTAAGCCAGTGCCCAAGCAAAGGTAGACTAACGGCAGGATCTCCCCCACTCAGGGTGGATTGCCAGAATCGCCACCTGTCAAAATATAATCTAACTCCTCTAAATCAAGCAACTTTCGGCAGCGTTTCCCGTAGGAAAAGTGCCTTTTCGAGATTTGTATCAGCCTGAATATGAAACCAAAAGTAGTCTTTGACTTTCCAAACTTTAATTTTGTCTAACTCTCTGAATTAACAAAAATTTGGGCAGCACTCCCTTTAGAAAAGGAGACTTTCTTGATTTTTACTAGGTCATATATAAACTTTAGACAAGTTGAACTTTGACAAGTCAAAATATGACTAACTCCTTGGATTTGCAGAAATTTCGGCAGCGCTTCCCGTTGAGAAAGTAGCTTACCAAAATTTATACAAAGCCAAGTATAATAAAAGATCCCAGAAAATGCAAAAATCGATCTAAGTAAAAAAAACTTAGCTCAGAAAATGCAGGAATTGAAGCTAACTCCTATCGCTCTAGCACGAGGCGAGCCTCTAAAGCAACTACCTGTCAACCTGACACTCAAACCAAGTTGTAGCCTCGCTCAGTCTCATGCAGGCCAAACCACAAGGGTAAGTACTCTCGTCATCCCAAGTCAAACTTTGCAAACAATAGTTTGTAATCTCTCGATACTTTATTCCCTTATACCCAGCTTACATAGGGCATAAAGTCAAGCCGTCCAATCTTATGGAACCTGCCTGACTCAGCCATTGAGTATACACGAACAGGTTGCACAACTACTTCTCTTTTCCTTTTGGGCATATGACTAAGCCGTTCATCTTAGAACAAGGCTCAGCCGCCCAAACTGTTTAATATCCAAATTATGTATACCTCTCTGAGCTTGGTGTTCAAAAGCTGGGCATAAGACTAAGCCGTTCATCTTAGAATAAGGCCCAACTTGCCCAGGGTTACCATCAATTATACTTTTAGTTATACTCTCTTCATTTCATGATAAGCTATAGCCAGACCGTCCAATCTTATGGAACCCATGCCTGGCTAGCCTGTTCATAAATAGGATACTATAAAATATAGCCAAAATTTAACCTTTTGGGTTCTAGCATGTGCGAGGCATCCGGCCAGACCGTCCAATCTTATGGAACACATCTGGTCCCTTGCCAGGTTCGTTTCTCTCTGATCCACTATGTGTGGCATGAGTCCAAGGCCCTCGAATCTTATGAACATGCCCTGCCCTCAGCGATAATTACTCCCTCAAAATGAAACAAGAGGGGGGGGCTGAGCCGTCAAATCTTATGGACTTGCTCATACCTCCTCGATTAGAAACAGAGAAAACAGAACAAACCTCAATCAAACATGGCGACCAAACCCTTCAATCTTATGGGACAGGTTCGGCCCCTGAAAAATCAGCCACAGTCAACCCTCACAATTCAGAGCAATCAGACTGTCCAATCTTATGAAACTGGTCTGACTCTCCACACAATTCAAAAATAAACACAGCAGTCAGGCCGTCCAATCTTATGGAACTGGTCTGACCCCATAGGACCCATTCAGGCTCGAGCAAAACCACCTTTCACCCACCTTTCCCCCAGATGCAACCCCTTGTGTTCACAATCTGCATTCAGGCAATCAACAAACTGAAACTGCGATTGCATATACATTCCTTTACTTAGTCTGACTTGTGTCCTGTCAGTCAAACCAAAGTCGAACTAGGGGTGCATAAAGTATACTCAGTCAAACATAGCAAGACGTACAAGTAGGGGTTATATCAGGGTGTATACAGGGGAAGCAATGGTTACCTTTCAATTCCCTGCCTCCAGAGCCTCGCCAAGGCTCCGGCAGAGCTCCCGCAATCGGTGGGGCGAACCTCCCACAGAGGCCTTGGCGCGGATTACGGGTTGCAATTCCCACCTGCCGCCTTCCTCTCAGAACCAATAGACTAGACTCGGAGTAAGAAGGGCAGAGGTAGAAAGGTTTAGTCTCTCAGATCCAAGAGTGGTGCGCTCAGACTCGCGCGAGAAGGCCTTGATTTCTCAATTCGCCTGAGGGCCCCACAATGACGGCCAAGTGTAACAGCTTGGTCAAAACTCTTGTCCAACTGCCGAACCAGCTTTCCCCTGACGACCCCCCAAAACATAGCACCAATCCCCTCACACAGGCCGACCGCCCCTCCTAGTACCATGCCTTCGCTACGCGTGGTGGGGCTGCAGTCACACGGTCTTACACGACCTTACTCAATGCGGTGCAGCAGTCCGTACCAGGCTTGACAACTGCTGCAGCAGAGCAGTAATCGACACGAATCAGCAGGGCACAGAACGGACTGTGCTGCAGTACAACGAG